AGTATATTTCAAGGATCCTCCCCCTACCTCTTGTTTTTTGACCACATGAGACTAAGTAAGTGAAAGTAATGTAAGGAATGCTAAAACAATCATTTGGTGAGAGGTCAAAAAAAAATTATTTTTCTGACGCGTGTCTTCCAATCTCACCTTCCAGACCTCATTAGCCTAGGAAGGAAATTCTCATTATATAAAGGAAGAGTACAGGACTTCACTTTACCATTATAGCCACATACTTTAAAAAGCTTAAGTGTGAATTAAATAATTTACTAAGTACCTACTATGTGCCAGCTGTTGCACAAGAGGCCAAAGATAACAAAAGAAATACGAGAAACAGACACCTGAGGCTAACAGCTAAGAATATTTTCAAACTCTGATTTTTGTTCATATACTTTTCTGAACGTTTTATATTTAATGTTTTCTGACAAATCTAACTACTGACAAAATTATAGTCTGTCAGTATTCAACCATATTATTTCATACGTCATATTACTTCTCTCAATAAGCATTTGTTAAGTTAAATGTGTTAACATTTTTAGTATACTGAGAACAGTGGCTGGCGGGTGTAAACTCTCTAAGTGTTCATTAAATACTGAATAAAATATCCACATCTACTGGATGTTAGGTACTTAGTATTTCTCTCATACTTCACCAAAGAAGTATATAACTTTCAACATCTCCTTTGCAGAAGAGCAAAAGCCTTGTACGTAATACATGCATCTTTTGAAACAAGTGTCAGAGTCAAAATCCGACCATACCAAAGATCTTGCCTGGCCTCCAAAGGGTTTGTTTTTAATTAGTAACCAGTATTTAAAGATAGACTAAAAAATAAAAATATAAAGATAGAGCATGTTGTAGTGGCACCCCCTTTCTCAACAGAAAATCTTAACTGGGTTTCTCCAGAAATCTTCACCATGGCTGATTTTAGGACTGTCAACAAAAGAGTCTCTACCAAAGAGTTCAATGTAGATAAACTTCCTTTTTTCGTGTTGCCCTATTTTACTTGGCCACTAGCCTAGAAGAAATCCACACTCCAGGTGCTGGATACCCCATTACTAGTTTTTCACAAACATGTATCCAGTATAGTAGTTTGTAGAAATGTGTAAACAAGGTCTCTGGTCTTGAGCTGGGGCTTCACAGAGATGTCTACGTTTCTAAGATAAGAGAAGTTACCAATTGGGCTCCATGGTAACAGCTGACAGGGGTGCGAAAGAAAGAGGAGAAGAAGCTCTCCCCTTCTCAGGTGTTGTCCTTAAAGGGTTAACTTGCCCAGAACAGTGAAAGAAAAAACTACTTTTATGTGACCTTCTGCAGACTGTGAACTTCTGAGCCCTGCCCATTACATGCTGGATATAAAATTCTGAAACTACCTGAACTCAGAGTTCAGGAGATTAATTGATTACAGCAAAAGCTTTGCCCTCTGAACCTGTCTATAACCAAATAAAACTGTTTCCTGCTATCTTCAGTGCCTTGCCTTGTCTGTCCCTACAACAATGTCACAGAAAGTTAGATTTCTGTCTTTTTAGAAAAAACTTAAGCTCTGTCCCACAGAAACCTGCATTTCTTTATTGCCTTAATAGGGGTGTGAGAAGGACAGTAGTGCCAAGGTTTCTGCATTGCCCTGGTAGACACTTGAATTTGCAGACCACAATATAATTATAAAAGTTACAGAACCAGACCCACCAACATTATGAAGAGAGAGGCTAGATATTCTTACTTTGATAGAAACATTAAGGATTAAACAGTAAAAATGGAGACCCCCTCACTGCTGATCCTAACAAATCCCTGTTTTAAGGGGACCACTGTTTTTAACCAGCTCTCTAAATTTGCCTGACATAAACATCTGTATGCTGGAGTCTTCTGTCCATTTTCGTAGGGCAAGGAAGTTTATGTCACTTGGCAATGCACCACTGATTGGTGAGATATTTACAATGATTTTTCTTTTCAGGTTGAAAAGGACTCTCTAAATTCTTTTAATCCCCTTCTATCAGAAAGAATCTCTGATCATTCACCATAGGCATAAAATCCATATATTTTACATCTAGAATATGGGAATTTCTGTAACTTCCTTATGCAATCTATCCAGTCTTCAGAAGCCTCACAATCATGAGATTGTATGTGAAAGCATCTGTAAGCTTCACTTGGATTCCTAAGCAGTTCTTATTTCATACTCTGTCAAATCATTCTATGGTTTTTGTTTATTTGGAGAGGATATGGGAATTGATCACTCAGCTTTATCCTCAGCCCTTTTTACTTTTTTGATATAGTGTCTTGCTAAATTGTGCAGGTTGGCTTCAAACTTGTAGTCCTCCTGCCTCCGCCTCCTGAGTTGCTGGGTTTGCAGGCATGCACCACCACACCAACTTCAAACAAATGTATATTTAAAGACGACTAGAAGTTTATCTTTTGTCCTCTTATGGTAAAGTCTTACAATATATCCATCAATGCTGCCTCTTTCTCTCCAATAATATGTATACCCAGCACTCCAGATCACCTCACACTGAACACCTCACAATTCCTATCATCAGAACAACTTCAGGACAACAATAACTGTCTCCATTTCCAGATGAAGAAGCAGATAATGCAACCAGCCCAAGGTTACTCAGCCCTTATGATACTATTCCACATTAATTTCCTTTCTACCACATAGTCAGTGGGGCATACATCTATTTATTCATCTCCACACCTCAGAGTACATATAGTAAAAAGATCCTAGTATCCTAACCTTTCTTGGGTGACCTTCACCTCAGCTGGAAATAAGGTAAATGGAAAAAGGATCTCTATGATTCCTTCTAAATTCACAAAATCTATTATCCTAATGCTCTTACTAAGCTCATTGGTCCCAAAGCTAAGAATGACAAAGAGCTAAGATGGGACATTAACTATCAGATGAAGGGTCATGCTGCCCCCATTTATACCACAGCTGTTGTCTGGCCTGCAGGCAGCAGCTGCCAGAGTCTGGGAAAGTATCCATTTGGAAACATCTCAGGACCCTGAACCTTCAACATTATTAAGTCCCTTCTCATAAAACAAGGGACTTCACACTCACTACTCTTATGATTTCTCTGCTACTGGTATTTCTCATTTATATCAGGTAGCAGTGATAGGAGTTAAGATTGCTAGATAAAATAAAGAATGCCTAAATGAATTTTAATTTTAGGCAGATAATTTTCTAAGTATGTCCCAATTATTGCCTAGAACTTTCTTACAGTAAGGAGTGCTACAGTAAACAACTCGGCCCTTGAAAACATGCTTCAAGAATTGAAAACATCTCAGAGAACTTCAAAAGGTCCTAAAAGCAAGTCCTAAATTAACATAACAAAAATAATGAGATGGCAAAATGGAAATTGGGCCTAAGAAACCACAATGTTTCATGGGCTAGCAACAAGAGGTCCTAAAAGCTTCTGAGCATGCATCCTCAAAGAGAATGAGGACAAGGATCATGCACTACACTTTTTCTATTTGAATCTCTAAAGAGATTGTTATTGTTGATGACATCATTTTAAAGGAAAAAAATGATTACTCTCTTTAAATATCCTTGAAAGAATTACAACTAACATGAAATTAAGAGCTTGGCTTTTAAACCATATGTTGTTTTCCAGCATCAAACTCTACCCAGAGTTTTCTTTAAAGATTTGGTGTTTAATTGAAATTACAAAAGAATGTCATTAAGCCCTTGAGACTTGAGTTCTAAGTGAAAAGGTTATGCCTCCCACAGAGCAAAAGCACAGCCGGAATTACACTGCCTACCAAGTGAAAAAGACAACAATTAAAAATAGATGTTTTGGTTTTTGTTTCTCTTGCTTTAAAAAAAAAATTTTCTTCCCAATTCAATTTTTTTTTAAATGTTTTTTTTTTTTTCTATATTTATTCTTTAGTTCTCGGCGGACACAACATCTTTGTTGGTATGTGGTGCTGAGGATGGAACCCGGGCCGCACGCATGCCAGGAGAGCGCGCTACCGCTTGAGCCACATCCCCAGCCCATTCCCAATTCAATTTTAAGGAAAAGTTGGGAACTGGAGGAAAAAAGTAATCAAAACTAGAAATACTCAACAGCTTTTTAAAGCAAGAATACAAAACATAAATCCTTGCTGGTTGGGCACAGTGGCCGTCCCAGCTATAGAGGAGATGGAAGCAGTACGAATACTTGAGTGGCCAGTTCAGGACCAGCCTGGATAACACAGAGCTATTCTTCTTCAAAAAAAAAAAAAAAAAAACGAAAACAAAAAACATTCCTCACTTGTGTCCAAAAGGAAGGTGAGAGCTAGCTTGCCTAAAACATGGCTGAAGTTTCCAACTCCTGACCCTATTCAGTGTTTACTCTTAAAGTCAACCAAAGTACGTTTTCTGAGTGCAGGAAAGTTAGGGAGGTAGGAAGGCAGGCAGTTTCTGGAGACACCCTGTCCTGCCAGAGTCTTCCCTCTAACTCTGTAGCAAAAACAGCTCAATCTCTCAGTACCTAGGGATCCTAAACCCCTTCTGTGACCTTGAAACAACACCATTTTGAAACCCCTAAGGAAATACAGAAGAACTAATGTAAAACCCAGAATCTGAAGGGCTTAATTGGCCTCAGGGCGAAACTTATAAATAACCACTTTCTGTTTTGACTCTTCTATTTTTATACACTTTGAGAAAGGTGAATATGAATCGCTGTTTAAGAATTTGACTTCTCAGTGCACTAGAGAGAAGGGTTGTTTTCCAAACCAGGAAAAGTAATACTAAGGAATGACTGAGGATTTCCCCTCTCTACCCCGCAGCATCAAGCTCAATTATCAGCTAAGTTATTTTTACAAATAGACATTATAGGTGATTTATTGGATTACAGAGATTTTGGCAGAAATAAACAGTGAATTAAAACCAATAAAGATACATATTCATTACAAGGCAAAATTATTCTTCTACCACCTTGGAAATCATGAAAATAAGAAACCCGAGAAATAAAACAAGCAGTGAGGGAAACCCTGCTTAGTAGGGAAAGGTCAAAAAGGACACTTCCACTTACTGAAGATCAGAAAGGAACTTATTTTAAATTCTGCTTGAAGAGGAACAAATTTGCTTTTTAAATGGTGGCAAAGAACCAAGCAAGCAGATTACTCAGTAATCCAATGCCCGAGAGCCAACAATCACTTACTTTGTAAATGGCAGGTAGGATCTGTTTCATTTTCAGCCTGTGAAAGACAAAGACATCATAAACTGCTGAAACCGCCAGAACAGTCACTCCTTGTTCCTTCCACAACATGCTGCATCCTGCGCACAGTCCTGTCCCAAGGAACCAGCCCCAAGTCCTGGCTGAGTAGCCTCTTGTAGAACAGTGTTTAATGTAGCAGAGCAAGGAGAGGAGAAAGAAGAGACTGGCCCCGACATCAGCCCGTCCCACGATTCCTGCCACTGCCTCTGTGTGAATGGGGTGGGAGGCAAACATCAAGCCAGCCATGAAGGTCCAGTATCCATCACCAAGGAGGTTCTTGGAGAAGCTTGTGAAGAGACCAGTGACAGCCGCATGCAACAGGACATTGACAAGGTGGTAGCTCCAGGGATTCAACCCTCCAATGGCATGATTCAGGCGAAAAGAGAGAGTGCAGAGTGGCCGGTAGGACTTGTGGCTGCCACTGTGGGTCAGAAGAGTCCCCCAAAAATCATTGTAGAAAATGTGGGTCCATGGAGTTTCTGGGAGAAGGTCCTGGTTAGTCTTGATAGCACGGCTAAAAAACAAAATGTTGAGAAAAAAACAAATGTAAAATGCAAAAAGGGAAAAAAAAAAAAAAGAAAAAAGAAATACTATGACATTGCTAAGATATTGCCTTCCTTGGAAACTTGATTATTATGTGGCTTTTGATGGGATTCCAAGTATATTTGGGGGAATTTGGATCCTCCCATTAATGCTGACTAACACCACAATTAGGGCTGCATTTCTTTTCCTGGAAAGCTTTCTTCCTTGTTGGAATGCAAACACCTTTGAGGAATAAATGCAGGGTTTCTATCAGTGATTTTAGCCTTAGTGTGGCAACTGCCAAACAATTTTTCTGAAAATCACATAGCACACTGTCTGAAAATGGAGATTCCTGGCTCTGGGCTGACATGAGGCATTAAGATTAAGTCCAGGATAATTCTGGTTTAGGGAATGCACAAAGAATCGGGATTAGCCTCAACTAAATACATTTTTTTTTTTAACTCTAAATAGAACAACAGTAGTACCCAAAGCAGGGCTTCTCATATACACAAAGCACCTGGGCACCTTATTAAATGGCAGGTTTGGACTCAGTAGAGAAGCTAGAGATTTCATATTTGTAACAAATTCCCAGGTGATGTTGCTGTTGCTGCTGCTGCTGCTGGTGGTGGTCTCTGGACCACACAGAATAGCAAGAGCCCACAGAGCTGGAGTGAGTAGGCAGAATGGCTCTCCCCATGCCACCTTTCCCTTCCTCCAGCCTTCTAGAGTACTTCAGCCTTTCCTGCTTCTGAGCTGTCATGGGATTTACCGTCCAGAGAGAGCATTATGGTATTTCACTGTCACATGATCTAAGAATTAATAGTTTCGAGCTTGCATGCCCCATATTTCCAAAGAAATTTCCAAGAAGAAAGGACCTACTATTTGCTGAGCACTTGGTATCTACAAAGCACTGTACTGGTCTCCCTGGTTACATCTATCATCTAAACTTTAGAACACATGGAGGGCCTATGAGTAGACAGACATGCACTGTAAAAAGGTTAATGGCTGCATTCATTTGAGTGGGTATTTGAAAGAAAATTTAACTATCACATAAATGGTAGATTTTATAGATATTTTCTCAGAATGAAGCTGTCAAAATTTAAAAGTCAGTATAAAGACAAATATGAAGGAAATAGCAGTGCTCACATATATGGGTAAGCTCTATAAATGCTGATGATGTCACGTTAACCACTCAATTCAGAAAATCCCCTATGCCATTACAGTTCCCAGTGAACAGCTGGCACTGGGAGCACTTCTCTCCTCCTACAGAACACAAAAGAGGCATGTGAGCTCCAAGGCGGTGGGGCTATAAAAGGAGAACTTGCAAACTGCCTCCTCTAGGACAATCACCTCTAGCTCCTTCACCAGGTCCCTCACCTGTTATGAGGCAGGTGTGATCAAAGGAACTTTCATCTGAATCTGAGCAAAGTTCAGGCTGGAAAAGCCCTGGATTTGAGAGGATATATTCCTAAATCCCAGCTCCATAATTTACTGCCCAACTTCAGAAAGCAAGGAAACACAACAAAGATCCAAACAGATTAAGAAACACATACCATCCAAAGTGACATAGCCAGTGGAAGTGGAGTTATATTCCTGTTGGGATGAAATGACTGGGCCAATGGTTGTTTGCAACTGCATCTCTAACTTGCTTCTCAATTAACCTCTCTGAGCTTCAGTTTCTGTGATACCAGTTTTACCTTGAAATTACTTTAGCACTTGTAACCTTTCATCTATCCTTGATGCAGAGGAACAGAGAACATTGTTTGTATTTTGGAGACCCTAGTGCAGATGACATCTATGCCCTATGGCCTGCTGTTAATACGATACAATAATATACAAGGCACAATCTATAAAATGTCCCTTATTAAAATCCATTTGGCCCATAACTTATAAATTAAGTACATTCGGGGGTTATAATTTTAAAAACCACTGATTGTTATTTACTTTGTGCCAAATGCCATATGGATCCTTTTACATATATTATTTACTTTGAAGAACAATTGACTTCTCTACATGTTCAGTGATAAAGCAGAAGATCTGTTAAAAACAAGTCCTGAAAATTATATTATGAGGTATAGTTCACTATTTCTCAATATCTAGTCTTTTTTTTTCCTTATTAATAGAATTTCAGATTATACCTGGGCACATGGTCATCTGATATACTTCCTTTGATGCTAAAAGTGGTCATGTGACTTTGGGCTACTACTTCAAGAAACTGTCCTTAAAAGCAAAACCTTAACCTTCTTCTCCTTTCCCCCTAGCTCATTCTTGCTATGTACAGCACATGTGTAATAGCTGAGTTTCAGCAGCCATCTTGGCCCATAAAGTGTCCTTACAGATAGAAATCGTGCACAGCAGAGCAGAACAGTAAAAAAGAAAGGAAACCAAGTCCCTGTCAAAGTAGACAATACCAGCCACAGACTAAGAACCTGCCAATTACCTGGGTATAAGAAATAAATTGCCATCTTTTTAAAACTGCAATATTTTGAGTGTTAACTAGAAGCAGGTGATCCTAGTCATAAGTGAAATCCTTTGTTAACAGAAGACTGACTACATCACAGAGGATTGATTTTCCATTTTGATTTTGATTTTTCAAATCTCCGTGTATTGACTGTGTATTAGATGAATTTCCATATAAATTGCCTTCTAAAATATTAGAAACAGATGTTTTTCTGGATCCATTAAATTAAAACACCCTGCTATGACATTCATCAAGAGTCTAACCCAGAAGTAATTGCTTAAGACTTGATGGGTTATAATTAAAATTTAAAGGAAATATGAAAAACTGCCAAACTGCCAAACAGTGTTGTCACAGAGAGAGCTGATTTCAAGTAATTCAGAATGAAAACCCACTGGTTTCTACTAGAAATTAACCTAGACTTCCTCCAACATCAATGTAGACAGGCTTCCTTCCTATCAGAGTCAGGGTAATGGAGGGCTCTGTGGCAAGGCATTCTGGGACAAGGATTTTCCTAGCACAGCGAGGAGAGCGGGCAAGAAGGTGCCCTTCACTTGGGACAGTAATGCACCTTTTCCGTGGCAGATCCAGAGCAGATGAAGAACTGTGTTTCCCACCCCAGTTTTTCTACTACATGCTTTTAGTTCAAGGTCATAACCAACTCTATAAAGACTTTTGGAGAAGGGAAAAAAAAAAAACTTTAAAGTGTCTTCAGAGCTACAGGGATGTCTTATTTTATAGCAATAAACTGAATAACCTGTAGCAGCCACAAGACATACTACATCAAATTCTCACAAAATGAGGGTTTCAAAACTAAGAAAAAAATTAATAAATTTCAAAATTTCGTTTTAGGAAAGAAAACTTTGAAGAGCAGCCCAAAATTTACAATGTAGAAAAACATTTAAAGGACAAGCACTGTCAATTAAAGAAAGATAAAGAAAAAGAAAAATGGAGAAAAAGGGAACATATTATCCATGTTCCAAACACACTGAAGGGAGACTGTGCATGATAGAACTCTCTAATGGGTGTTCTCTGCCTAAGCATGTTTTTATTAAACCAATGAATATTATGGCAAAAGAACATAGACTACTACTAAATTGTATGGGGCTTTAATATATGTCATGTCACAAGTTAGTGATAAGGATATAATCAACTTTGGACTAAGAAAGATCTTGACCAAAAGAGCCTCGGTATAATCTGAACAGTTTGCCCGAGAATGTGAAGTAAAGATAGTTATTCAACACTGAGCATAATAGATGTTGACCATTTGCATTCTCTCCTGTGAGTCCAAAATGGAAACAGTGAAACCTCTTCAGTTCTGCTACTTCGAAGCTAATGAAACACCTTAACACAAAACAAAATTTCATGCTGATATGTAATCTCCGAGTTTGCTTGGTGGGTTGATATTGAAAATTCAGAGAGACACTTAAGGAATGAGGAAATTCTCCACTGTAGGAAAGGTGGAGAAAAATCAGAGCAGCAGATGTGAAAAAGAAACAATCGCATGCAGAATTCTCTAGGGAACACGGGACTCAGAGACTGTCTTTTAAAGCAAAAAAAAAAACAACCACCAAAATACAGCCTCTCAAGTCTTCAAGGAATCTTAAACTATTTCCAGTTGTGTTCATTTGTGGGTCTTTTGTTTTTGCTGCCTTGTGATTTTTCCTTTAGGAAATGTTGACAAAGGCCAATGCTGTTGTAAAAAGCTGATGAATGATGGGACGCTGCCATCCAAACCATCCTTGTGTGTGCATTTCTCACTGCTATTGTTTCTGTCCGATGACCTTTTCAGTCACAAGCACCAAACATAAATGATGACCACTAACTCCTTCAGAGCAGCAGGGATGCTTAGATGCTTCAAACATCAAATGGTACACAGCTCTGAAACACTTTTGATTGTTCAGCTTGAAAGGTACATAAATGCCAAAACTTCAATTAAAACAAAGCAAAACATATTTTTTTTTTGCAATGGGTTGAATTTTGTTTTATAAGAAGGGTGTTTGTTAATCTGTCCCACTCTGATATTACCCAAATGTGACTATCTGAGCTCAAGCCCAAAATGCAATGCAGAGTTTAGAGCCAAATGGACACACACAGGGTA